ACTTTGTATAGCAAGATAAATCTATAGCTAAAACTATGCAACAACAATAAACGAAATTGTTTAACTTGACAAAGGGTGTGAGAAGATAAATAAGAAATGCATATTTTTTATTGATTAAAATGATCATGGAATCAAGCAAGGAAAGTATTTTCTAATTGGCGCATCCGCTATAATGTCAAAGCAAAAAATGAAGATTCAGAATACCATTAAGAATTGAACAAAACTAAAACTTAAATATTATCTGATTAGAAACTGGAAACTTTGTCTTTGTGCAAAGTTTTAGTACAATGTATAAAACAGTTTTCACATAATTTTAGTACTTTATACAACTTGCCCAAAAATTTCAAATAGAATATGTAGATCTGAGTTTAATTAAGACCAGATAGTTATTTTTAAATTTGTTGCGTAAAATGAACGAATCATTAACAGCTTACCACAAATAAAAAGAAATGGCGTATTTTTTAAAGCAATTCAAGCGAATTTATAATTGAAGAACATACAAAATTTTCCGTTTCTTTTATACTACAGCATAAAGACTATAATCTTTATACTGTGCTAATACTTATGCTATGATATTTAAGCTGTCCTAATACCATAATACAATACTTTATTGGTCATTCGCCATTTTGTCAGGTTAAATACATATATCAAAAGAGATAGACTTTCGAGGCCATTCCTTGAAACTAATGGGTTTTTCGGCGACGGCTTAAAAACCCGAAAAACCCATTAGTTTAAATACATATAATTCAGAGAATTATAGATAAGGGAAAAATTATAAGCAGATTTTACGTTCGTACTTTACGTTAACTACGTGCTTTCTTAGGAAATTTTGCTAAGTTGTTAGAAACAGTTTTAATTTTTTCTCTAATTTCCCAGTAATATTTTTCGCTGGAGAGAACCATTGAATCAATTTTAATCAGCACATAAGTTATAACTTATTAGTCAATTAGTATACTAATTGACAAAAATAATACGAAAAAAAATCATGTATAAAAATTATTTTCTTTAGTCACAAGTTTCTCAAAAAAACCTAACTCCACAACTGCTATCGTTTTTCTTTCAAAAATATTTCCAAAAATTTTTCATTGAATTTATAAGAAATACAAAATGAAAAACCGTTTCATTTAATTAACATACGTATAAATAAAAAAAATAGCTCCGTTATGTATTATATGTTCTATTGCGATTTTCATCCTTAAGCTTTTTGAAATCCCAACAAAAAATAATAATACATACGTTGAACGGATTTGTTTTAAGCTGACAACACCGATGCATTGTTTACTGCTCTGTTCCCAGTTCCTATTGATTGTCACGCGTCACGCGTAGTAAATTTATTCGCGCTTCCCATATCGTCGTGTCTCTCTCAGGGGACATTCTGGACATTCAGTTTCGTGATATTAGAAAGAGAGAAACAGTGGCGTCTAATTTTGAGTGCAAAGTTCGAGAACGTCAAAATTGATAACCTCCAGGAAAGTGTGAAACCGGTTCTTCCAGAAAATTCTCCACGTGAAACTTGCTACTTCATTTAGTTTTCCAAAGCACCAAAAGACCAACTACACTCAAGATGGTAAGTGAGACATTCGATATACTACAATGGGGCGTTTATGCACAGTAAATGTATTCCATTTTTAATAAAGGAGGATTTTTCATCTAGCACTGAACGCCCGCGTGGCTTTCTGTGCCCCATTTTTTAAATTAATTGATGTAAATTATTTAGTCTAGTGCTGTGCCTGGCACAAGTAGCGATGAATAGTGAAAAGTATAGAATATAAGAAGAATTTCGACTTTCATTTAGGTTTAATATTCCAGAAATGTCAGTTTAGTTATCCACTTGTGATTTTTAAACGATTTGCTCAAGTTTTTCAACTTTTTATTTGGAAAAGATGGCAATATTTCTGCCAAAAATATCTAACTTTGTCTTTCCCAGTAGTTCTGAAACATGAGTTAGCTTAGTTTTTTTTTTATAATTAGAAGAACCTACCTAGAAAGCATCGATTTACATTCATTAGTACGACCACGTTTTTTCATTTTCATTTCAACACCTAAATGATAAGTGTTTTTCTGTTTCGTGGGGATCAAATTCCAACTAGCCAGAACACCAAAAATTGATAGATAATAATTCCAAAAGTATAGTGAAAACACTTTTTATAAAATACTTTTTGGGTAATTTAACAGTTCTACCTCAAAGTAATCCGAATTATTTGCCCAACTAAGAAAAAACGCCTATATTAATTTTTCTTTTAAGAAAGTTACATTTAGAAGTCGGAGGAGCTCCGTATATCAATCGGAAATTTATAGTGAATATGAAGAACCGCCGAGAAAATCAAGTGAGGACTTTTGCTTCTAAAGTTTTCCAAACTCCATTCGTAAAATGCTAAACTCGTTAATTTTTTTCATAGTGCTGAAGCTTTGACATCACACTTTCAAAGCTTTTCATTTTGGTTGCTTTTAACTTCGGAATAAACTATAATTGAATTTTAAACAATTTCCTACTGGGGATTTAAAAGAAACGTTGCAAGCACATCTGCAAGTTTCAAAACCCTCATACTTAGTTAATTCGTTGATTTTTTCCGTTATTTTTTATTTATTTTCTCTTATTAAAGAGGCGAATTTAGATTAGTAAAACCGTTTACGTTTTAACCTCAGAATTCATATACATATGTATAATAATTATTCAAAATTAAGTTTCGCCCCATACAAACGGTATGGGGCGTATGTAACATTCTCATTTTAGAGTCATATCTTTCAAATTTAATACTATTTTGTTTCCTTTATTTTACTTTAGATTTAATTTTAGTTTAATAGTCCTAGAAAAGAAAAATGTCTCCATATAAGAACGATCTCTTAAAATCAAGACATGCTCTTATTTAGCATCTAAAAAAGTTACTGACATTAATGGGAACGAAACTGCACTGACTTGTTATGATAAATGTGTTTTATGTTGAATGTGAATTATTTGGACTCTTAGGGAGTCTGCTTATATCAGTTTAAAGTAATTTTTTAACTACATTGATTGTTCTTTAATTTACAGAGCGCATCCCTGAAACGTTTGGTCCCTCTGTTCGACCGAGTTCTAATTAAAAAGGCAGAGGCCATTACAAAAACCAAAGGTGGGATTGTTATTCCTGAAAAGGCACAAGGCAAAATTTTACAGGGGACTGTCGTAGCAGTTGGACCCGGCCAAAGAAAAGAAGTAAGTTTGCAATTTATTCCAATTCATCAATGTGGATTCATATCTAAAAGAACTTGCATTCAAATTGTCTTTATATAATGATAATATATGTTTTAATTGTGATTGTTCACTTGTATGTTTACACAACTAAGCCAATAAATGTGCATTCATTTCGATAACGGAACATAATATAAGTCTAATTTGTGTTAGTTTATATGTTTTGGCGTCCTTCGCCTCATTGACCAGATCGAATTTATTTTTATTGATATACAAATTCTCCAGTCTATAACCAGCGATATCTGCTTTTTACATTCCCAAAAAATAAGGTGCAATTAGAGAACTAATAATCACATGCACATATGAAGAAATGTAATTGTATTCTGAAAATTGGAAATCCTTTTTTGTTTGTATTTTTACCTAATATTTATGTTTATAATATAAATATTAATAAAGAAAGGAAGAGAAAAAAACAATCCAACAATTTCAACCAAGAAGAAATACGAAATTCGTCTGGTACCATCTTTTAGAGAATTTATGACAAATTTAGTTATTAAATATATTTTTATACATGGGCCTGAAAATTGAAGAAAAAACCGCAATTTAGCAGTCGAATTACAAAAACAAAAATGAAACTACAGACTTGAGAGTTTAGTTTGGTTTTACCGGTAATACTTTCTCATTTATTCGGGGATCTCTAATATTTCATAATTAAAGACCTTTAATTTTTCTGAATACATTGATGTACATTTTTTGGTTTTATTTTAACATATATGTATATATAACATTATAAGGATTTTATAAAAACCAAAAATATGTATTTTTAAATGTCTTTAATAATGTGATTCCCATTGTTTCCAAAAAATGATATATTGTTGATGTCTTCTCTTCAAGGTGAAAGAGTATTAGACCTGAATTTAATTCCGTTATAATAGTATTGCCATTTTTTTAAATGCGTTTAAATCATTTGATATCGAAACATTTGTGGGCTTGTTTGAATAAATATGAAGTAGTGGTTAATACTACATACTTAATATTAGTTTGAATGACGTTTAAGCTTTTGTTAATTTCAAATGGACTTATACGATGCCTAAAGTCAATAAAATGTGAACGTCATAAATATATGAAATGATAAATTTGGGATTTTTAATAAATTAAATCGGCTTTTTATAGCAATTTTTTGATTAAATATTCTTGTAATGCGATTGTAACTGCTTTTATTACAACTGTATATTAATGGCTCATGTAAAAAATACGTTTAGTTCTAATGAAACTGTTATCCATTTAAAAAAGTAATGGCACACTAAATTCATTGGTTTTTCTCAACTGTATTCACCCCTTTCAAAGAAACAAATGTTTCAGATATCTTGAAAATTACATTTAATATTTTAATTTCCTCTTAGGATGGAAACCATATTCCCATATCAGTCAAAGTGGGAGAACTGGTTCTTCTTCCGGAGTATGGAGGTACCAAAGTGGACGTAGAAGAAAACGTTGAATATCATCTTTACCGCGAAACCGATATTCTCGCGAAACTTGACTCCTAAGTTTTGAGATTTTGTAGGACTGAATATTCCATTAAATGTTGTGTTATTTGGAATGAATGGTTAAATTAGCCAATATCAACAAATTGTTCATATTGCTGGATCTGTACTAAAAAACTCAGTGTGTAAGTTGAAATTTCCAGATGTAAATGTTTTTATAAAACAATGGAATTTTCGTAAGGCTGTATCCGTACTGCTGTTTTATTACCTGCAGTGATAATAGCTTTGTTAGTAGTTGTATAGTAGTAGTAATACTGTTGTTTTTACTATATTAAATAAGATTTCTATAGGACGGTTTTTTTTATTTACCTCCTTTTAATTACAAGTCTAAAATCCGGTCGATTCTTCAACTGAAAGTCACAGTAGAATATTTTTTAATGATTACTTATGTGTCTAACTTTTATTATGCAAGGGTGTCGCGCTTGGTAAGCCAAGTAGAACATGTAGAATTGCAAGAGCTTTTAAACTTTCAACGTGTTTTTCAAAGTGCATCAATTCCATATCGTTTTTTGTCGTTCAATTAACAGAAACAATGTATTAAGATTAGAGATGACTTTGAGAGTTAGATACTATCATTATTAATATACCTATATCCGAATAATACGTACCAGCAATTTAACATTGAAACGTACGGAATAAGAGCTTGTTAATTAAATAAAAACGTTTAAAATAGTCTTCTATATTGATCCTTTATAATTTTTGTAATCACGCAGGAACATGTAACGAAGCAATACCACTTCGAGCTCTAGTTAGCGCTAAAATGCACACAATAATTACTTTTTTTAATTAGCCTCAGCTAAGGAAAAAATAAAATAATACTTTTTATTACCATTTGCGCTCAAGAATTGGTCTATAACAGTACAGTTTTGGGGCAGGTCTGGACTTTAAAATTAATTTCAGGTATTTCATAATTATTTACAACTGTTCATAATTTTTTTCCCAGTAAAGTAAGTGGAGCAGAAACAAAAGACATTAATTATATTTAAATGATTCAGTGATTCTCGCCTTTAGGGCTTTTTATTTCAACTGTATTCACTTGCTAATGGTTTTTAGAGCTCGCATGTAGCCGTTTCTATTTTTTCGAATTCTTAAATTTGGCAAAGTTTTGCTGTTTGTACTACTTGGTAGCAAGATTATATAATATTTGATGGATGTTTATTAGTAAATTGGTTTATTGAATAACACAGCGTTGTACATAACTAAGTGAATGCCTATCGGGTTTAGTGATATTTTGACCTAAAATATTCTATTCCCTTTTCTAAGAAATTGCCAATTTTATTGATTATTGATACTTTTTTTGCCTGTGGTATGTTTTCTCCCATCAATGTTTTAGTTTTTTATCTTCCTCAATCGTACTAATACTGAACTTTCCAAGAGTTAATTGATAAATCAATCAACAGAATACATATTAATAAAACCAGTAAATTTCTGAAGAATTGTACATTTTTAAAATTTTGTTATATTTTGAAAGAGATTGTGGAAAATCTTATATTCATATTTTCCGTTCCATAGTGCGATCCTGGAAATTTTTTTTACTCATGTAAAGACACCGTAACACTCACATATGTGCATGAAATACAACAATTCATCGAAATGGTAATTCGCGTATGGCACGCCATTAAACTCATTCGGAGCGTCTTCTTCATGCCCCGTTAAGCGTCGAAGAAGCGTAGCACGAACAGGTGCATTGTACTCTTTGATTTCACCCTTGGTTTACCAAGCGCATCACCCCCGTATTCTATTAAAATGGGGTGCTTTCATATTGTGTATTTTTCCAATTCTTCAACGCTAACATGCAAGAAATCAACATTTTATTAAATGTGAACGAGTTTTTATTATTTTAAGTGCTATCATTGATTCATCTACAATAAACATTCCAATAGGCTTTAATGATTTTACTTTTTTATTTAGATGAAATGAGATAAAATATTTTTTTTATTTTCCCCAATTTGGTACCTTTTTTTAGAGTAGCAGGCCTTAGGTTCCTTCCCTCTGTAAAAAGTTTTCTTTTTGCGATAAAATTAGGAAAACTGGATATTTATGACTTCGAGAACTGAATAGTGCGTTAAAAATTTTAATGAAACACAATGCGTTTTTGATCTTGGTACGGTTACGTGCAACGCAATGCATTCAAGAGTGGAATAAATTGTTAAATATGCAAAAATGTATACAAACATCACTAGATATAGTTATTCTAATAACGATTAATGACAAAATATAAAAGTGTTTATTTATTTAAAGAAAGAATAGAAAAGTTACTAAATTGTAAGAATTGAATGCCAAGAAAATGGTAACGGCAAATAAAAAGTTGTAGCTTCAAAAAGAAGGAAACACACCAATAAATATCCCTTAAAACAGTCAAAAACGAAATAAAAAATACTACAATGACAGCTGAGAAAAAACTTCATTGTACCCATTTTAGTGGTTTTTTCACATGGTTCTGAGAAACAAGTAACCAATGATGAAATAAACAGGCCTAAAGCAAGTTTCTGTTAAAAAACCAAACCGTTCTGGTTCTTCAAAAGAAAAGCAATCAAATATTTGCTTAGGATCGATCGTTTTGGCGCTTCTATGGTTTGTCTGAATGTCGTCCAGTCTACAAAGAATAGATAAATATAATTCTTGTTATTTTGAGACCACTTAAAAATTTGTTCTCGGCGTTTGGAATTTCTAAAAGAAAATGTCTGCTAAATTAAAAAATATATGTTTAATTTTAAAGTCTTGGCATTTTTTGTCTCTCATCTCTGAGGATTTCGCAAAACATTTAAAGACCAGCACATTAACAACCTTTTTCAAAACGTTACAGTATTAATCAGTCTTTTAAACTTTATTATCATCATTTGACAAATAGAATTTCGTCTGTTTTTGGGAATTCTGGAACGCCTCATTAACTATAAGCTGCAAATGATCTCCATGGCTTTTAAAATATTTTTTACTGTTTTCAATCACTTTTTTACTACTGTAAAATTACATAAACACACATCCTTAGTAAGCGCACACCCATTCTTGAATTCTTAGGGGCAAACTACTGCGGATTACTCGATTATTGGTAGAAGTCAATTTACCTTTCTAATATGCTGAAGCATTCCGCCTTTTAGGTATAATTTTCTCAAATCTCAAGGTACATAACAGTAATTAAAACGTAAATTTTTTTCGAGCATATCGCTTAATTAAAACCGGATACAACTGCACCCTTCCTTCAGATCTGCCCAACATTGGCTCTTAATTAATTCGATTTGTTCAACACAATCTCCAGCCGAATAAAACTTGATATGATAATGCGCGGTTCAGTCGGTTACGACTTTAAAACGAAAACGTATAATCTCGGATATATAAAATACGGAATGTTCCCAGTAGAGGAAGGAATTAATTGGCTGATGGAAAGGAAGTCATTTTTCCCAAGAGATTAGCGTGTTGCCCCATTTGCACACAATGAATAAAAATATGCTTATGAAAGACTGCTCAAAATCACGAATGAAATTTCATAATTATTGTGAGTGGCAACGGAACTTTTATACAGGACGACAAGGGTCTCGATAAAATTTGAATCTTGTTTTCCCATAGTTAAAGTCAATTCAAATTATTCGACTTAATTTATTTCGTAAATAAAATCAAAATCGGCATATTATCTTAAATTCCTCAAGCTTGTTTTAATTCAAGAAAGTTTTAATAAAGGTATTTTATATTTCTTGTTAGTTTCCTCATTCGAAATTCCCATTCTGTATTTTATAACTAATTGACGAAAATTCTGTGGCCACAGTGTGTTTCAGAGTTGAAAAACAAGTGACTAAAACCCAAATAAGGTTCCGCTCAGCTAAAGATCGATTAAAGTTCTATCAAAACATGAGTCATTCCAACGTTTCATTCAAAAATGCGCTTATTATTAATTCCTCAAAAATACTTTAGTCTGCGGCCGTGTTTATGATGTTATGTACAAACCCAAAGTAAAACAATTACGAAATCAGTAAAACATTTAAAAAAGCAAAAAAATGTTTTTGTATTGAAGTTATCTGACCTCAAACCTGCAAAAGGAATACAGGCTGATATTTTAGGCAAAATACTTTGATTTAACTGATATTTTAGGCAGGCTGCGATTTTGGAAACGTTGAAAATTGTTTTAAAATGCCCAAAAATATTTTAAATAATATGTATTGACTAAAAAACTAATTTCTATATAAAACTTTACACTCTGTATTTCCGAACTGAACCAGTTGCTGCCACTTATTCATTTGAACTTTTTACCATATTTCATCGAGCGTAATACTCGGTGTATTAATTTTCAGTTCCAGTTGTTACTGTTACTATTATTAAAAATGTTCATCTTTTTTGGAAAAAACCAATGAAAACATAGAAAGCGCCTTTCATCAACCGCTGAGAAACTTCGAAAGGTTATTTACATTCAACTTAGATTCCTCCAACTTAGATGCGTTTTTTCTTTCGCTTCTTTTATCTCATTTTATGCTTGAAACTATAATCAATTTCTGTACGGCTCAATGTTCAGTCAAGCTGTGATCTCATCAGAGGATATACCAGAAGTGATGTCGTTTGAACGGTGTTTGAATAAAATTTCAAATAAAATTAATGAGGACTAATAATTATTAAACAAGTAAATAGTAATTAGAAATAAAAATAAATAATAAATTGACAATGCTTTTTAAATATATGGATTGTGTGGCAAAAATACGTAAGTAGATTTAAAATGTGTTCGCAAAACGTGTGAATTCACTTAATTTTTTGATTAGTTTAATCTGAAACCTCAGTATATGTTGCCCAGTTTCCTTAATGGATTTCGGACAAAATTGCATTTTATCGATTTGATTTATAAGTTATTTTCCACACAGGTCGAAAAACGCAAATTGTTAACATGCTAAATTTCCGTTCTTAAAAATTGAAAAACATCCAAATTTTATCAAAATTTCAATCTCGGACTAAAATTTATAGACTAGACTAAAACATGGTGTTAATAACTATCAAACTAAATTTAAAATGAATTACTTACAGTG